TAATTATATAACATGTCATTATAGAGGTACATTAATACTATATAGGCACATTTATACAACATTATTTTTTTTTATAGATATTGATCCCCAATTTTTCGACTTTGACTAGTTGATTTTCAAACTTAAAATGTTATTAATATATACTACTTTGCACTATGTACGTGTGCATTGTGCGTGCAGACTTAATTATTATTTCAAATAATGAAATAAATAACAATGTAAACTAATTACGATAAATACGTACCTAATGAATGATTATCTCAAGGGCTCATCAACAATGAGCAGTTAATTAAATTAATATATACCTAGTAGGAAACATTAGATACCAAAATAATATATTCCCAAATTTCAAAATATTAAATTTGTTTTTATCAATATATATATTATATAATATACCTAATATATAAGATATCTAATTTAAATAGAAAAATTCCCTAAAGCAAAACATAAGTGTTATCAAAGTACCCTTWTACAGTGGATTATTTATTCTAGATTATATTTGAAAATTAAATTAGGTAAAAGTTTTTAAATAAAATTTAACTATTGGTGTTAAGTAACAATAATTCAAGATCTGAGCATTTATGTTTGATTGGTCTTATTACCCTACTTAGTATAGTGGAAGTCACAAWGTTTTAAAATTTAAAAAAATATTTATATAATTGTAATTCACTAATAAGGTAGCATATAATTAATGTAATCATTGTAATTTATGACCTACCGAAGAAGAATCGAAATTGTGTACGCAAATTTACAAAATTAATAAAACAAAACTTTATAYAATTTTCTCGAAATCCGTGATAACCAACTACACATCTCTATAAGTGAACGATAAGTARGTACACTAATATATTATTTGAATCTTTTGTAAAATATATTTTATARCATGACGAAAAAAATGTCAAAAGTAAATTAGTCAAGTCTTTTAAAGAGTTAGCCTTTCAATTTAAGAAAAAATATCTGAGCTAAAGAAGCACAGATTAAAAGATGTAAAATCATATACATCGAATAATTCAAAAACTGAAATACCATTTAGATCTGAGTGAGTAGTTGTTCCCTAGGTAATTTAGGTAATCCTAAAAAATTGTCTTTAGCATAAACAGTACTCTTACAAATATGTAATTTAGGACGGTAATCTTGAGCAGTTTGTGCGACAAATATATTAGTTGCTTCTTGTAATTTTCTTGTAGCTTGGGCCGCCTTAGTTTCTTCTTTTTCACAACATAACTGAATTAAAAGAAGAAAAACATCATTATTTTGTTAGGTATCTAGATATTTCTAAAGTCCAATACCTAATTATAT